CCGAAGTCCGTGTTTCAAATATGTCCATCCTTCAGGTAGTGCGCATTGCACTCCTTGTGTATACAAATACCCGCAATCTTCTAGCACGTGTAACTAACTGTCTTTGTGTAACAAAGGACATAGAAGCATTAAGCAATACACACATAATGTCTGCTTGAGGACCCTTTACAGTGTGAATCTGGAAGCTTTCAGTTAAACCAATGCATTCCATTTCCTCCTGAAACTCTGCTAAACCGACAGGAAATGAATACAAAGATTTATAGCCTTAAGGACAAAGGGTTTGGTAGATGAGACAATACTAATAGAATTTTGGAAGCTAGAAAGCAGATGGATGAATGGCAACTGACTTAACAAGAAAGAAAGTTAAATTTTAAGTTGAGACAGGAAGCAAATTAGAAGCAGGCTGCTTTTTGCAACAGAACTTCAAGAGTCTCAGAAAATAGAGGCACCAGATGCTTCTGAAAGTAAGGTTATACGTAGGACTAAATATATGAATAGTGGTTAAAAGTTTGTAAGAAAAGCAGATTTCCTGAACCCCTCCACATATCCATTGCTGATTACTTTCCCAACCTTGGTAAAAGAGGCTTACGATCTGGAGAATCTGATCCAGGGATACCCTCCACTCAGAGCCACTACATGCAGTTAAGTGTCCAGAGACCACGCCAAAATTAAGGAAATTAAGACCAAGTTGCCTCACTAAATGTGAGATGCTTTTCCCAAATGGCTTTGAGAACCCTTACAGCCAGGTACACATCTCTATCAACACAAGATTGGAGAAGTTTTCTTTGGGAAAATGGTCCACCATGAAAGAAAATGCCTTCTTTCTTTCTTTTCTTTCTTTTTTTCTTTCTTTCTTTTCTTTCTTTCTTTCTATCTGTCTATCCATCTATCCATCCATCTGTGTATCAAAGTGTGTGCACATCTGTGTGTGTGTGTGTTTATGTACACAGTTATAAAGTTTGGTGTTCCCAAGTGCAGTATCACAGATTAATCACCCTACAGTAAAACTCACGTGTCACAAGGTCTTGACATTCACTCAGGTCCCAACATCTTTTGAGTGTGTCAATCCTACATATGTTCAGACACCAGGGGTCACTAGACATGTGAGGAAATTTCTAACAAGAACAAGAAAGAACAAATGAACAAAACAAACAAACAAACAAAAACATATGGAAAGAGGAACTCAGAGGAAATAAAAACACCACAATACAATTCTGGGAGAAGAAATCAGTATTAAAATATATGTTTAATAAATATCTTCAAGTAACATGAGAAAATGGTATATAGACAAAACAAGAATAGTAGACTAGAAGATACAACAAAGCAAGAAACATGTATTGAACCTAAAAGAGCCCCTGGAAATTAAATATAAGGTAACAAATGAAAAATTGAATAAAAGGCCTAGAAGATAAACCTAACAACATTGGAAAAGTGAAGATGAATAAAATGAACAGTAAAACTAAATAATGGAAAAGAAGAGTCAAAAGGTGAGAAAATTAGAGGAGTAATTAGGGAGAAACAGTATTTCTATAACAGGAATCTAAGAAAGGAATTCTAGAAAACAGTGAGGAGAATATTATCAAAGCTATAATACGAACAAATTTTCCAGACCAAAATCATCAAATTGAGAGGGCCTACCTATTACAGAATAAGGACTGGGAAAGATCTGTGCTGGTCAGAGAGAAGGAGATAAGGGCCAAAACAAGAAGTAGAAGGAAAATGAAGAAGAGGAATGGTAGGAGAAAAGAAGAAAACATTCAAAACTAAGGACGGAGAATCAGAACATCTTAGGCATCTCATCAGTAATACTAGAAGTCATAAGACAATGGGACAATGCCTCCAAATTCTAAAGGAAAATATTTTTCCATTTAGAATTCTGTATCCTGGCAAAGTTTCAGTCAAATAAGAAGAGAGAAAAAAAGTTATTTGTAGATATTAAAGATTTCAAAAAATGCACAACTCTCAGAAAGCTGCCAGAAGATGTGTTTTGCCAAAAATAAGGAATGAGTGAAGAGAAGGTAGACTTGGGGTCCAGCACAGCAGAGAGAACGGGATTCCCCTGATGGTGGTGAGAACAGATCCTAGGGTCCTAGGCCAGCAGCTGAACAGCAGGCTCGGAGTAGAGCGGGAGCTTCAGCAGGGCGCCCCAGGGAAAAAGATGAATTTGCCATTACCTGATGCGGTTGAATGTATTAAAGGGAGATTTCCACTTCTGGGCAGATGTTTTAGACTGAACTGTAACTGCCCAAAATTCACATGTTAAAGCCCTAGCCCCGGACATAGTGCTTTTACATAGGTAATTAAGTTAAAATGAGACCATCAGAGTGGGCCCTAATCCCATATGACTAATGTCCTTTTAAGACGAGGACATTAAAGCATACAGAGAGACGTCAGGGGTGCGTGTGGACGGAGGGCAAACACGTGAGGAGGGAGCACAGTGACAGCTTTCTGCAAGCCCATGTCAAGGCTTCAGGGGAATCTATTTCTACCAGAACTGACTTTGAACTTCCAGCCTTCAGAACTGTGAAAAAATAAATTTCTGTTGTTTAAGTGACCCATTATGAGGAATTTTATTATGGCCGCCCAAATGGACTAATACAATAGATTTTGAATTAGTGATGAGTGGTTAGAAAACAAAAGGACCAAAAGAGACAACTATAGAGGAAAACAGATCACTCAAAATTATCAAACTATAGTCATGTGCCACATAATGACATTTCAGTCAATGACAGACCACATACACGGTGGTCCTGTAAGATTATAATGGGGCTGAAAAATCCCTACTGCCTAGTGACTTCGTAGCCACTGTGCCTTTGTGGTGCACGCATTGCTCACGTGTGTGATGACGCTGGGCAGGAGCGATAGGCTGCACCGTACAGCCTGGCGTGTGGTCGGCTGTGCCATCTGGGTGCCTGTAAGTGCACGCTGACGTTGGCACGACCACAGAATCGCCTAGTGATGCATTTTGTCACGTGACTTGCATATTGTCACGTGACTTGCATATTCAAAAGAAGGGGGAAGGGA